TGCCTCTCCCCAGACCCCCCCGCCCCATCCCTCTTTCCTCCTACTTCACCCAAAATGAACAGAAGAGCTCTGTCTCGGTGCTTATCACCCCTCGATTCGCCCCATAAATAATAAATGCAGTTGTTGTTCTCATAACTTCATGTTAGCACTGACATGAGGTTTTTGGCCTATTGCGCTTTTCGAAGCCTCCTTTCCCCAAAGAAAAATATCCAAGTTATTTTGTAGAGCAGAACTCTTCTATTCATGTAAGTGTGGGCACTGTTAAATACACTGGTGATGATTATTCCCATTGCTTGAATTTGTCCATAATTTGCTCTGATGTCCATTGCCCTTTTTAGTCCCCTGCCAAATACGACTAGTACTGACTCTGATCTGTGAGATGGGCAGTGGTGGGCTCTAGTGTGAGTCCCCGCTACAAAAACTGCAGAAGCTGTTTGTCCAGAGGCACTCCATGCAGCTTTTTCTAAGCTTTGAGCTGGTTGGGCTGTGATGGACTGTTTGGCAACTCAGCTCTGCTGAGGCTTTTACACCCATCATTTATTTGTAACAGGCAACAGTAAATATCTGCTGGCAGTCTCATCATTCTAAATTACTTTACGTTAATGCACTTTTCTTAGGAAAAGCAGTATTTTGTGCTGCAAATTTTATTCCAGCTGATGAGTTGCTGTTGAATGGTCTTTGTTGATAACTTTATTACACCTGTGTCTAACAAGCTACGTACTAAATTGCATTTGCAGATCAGGAAATGTCAATAGTAATATGTATTATACATGCTTAATGTAGCACCGCATTTAGTTCTTGTTAACGTGGTGTTTTGGCAATATCAATATCACTTCTTTAGATCCTTGGATTTTCAAAAATATCACCTAGAATAGTTAGTTTAAATTGGCATACAGGCTGCTGAGCAGTGAAAGTACACATTTATTCAGCAGTGAGTGCAATAACACTTAGCATTTGCATAAAACATTTGTTAACGTTAATTGAAGCTGCTTTCTAGGATGCTCATTCCGATGCAGTCAAAGCCCACACTGACTGGAGATTGTCACTCTTGCACAGCGGATGAAGTTAGTCAAAGGCTCTGTCTTGGTTCTGGAGAACAGTTCAGAGTTCCCTAGATAATTACCACAACCGTACTATTTTAGCGAGAAGTGTAAAAATGGTAGTGGGAGCTGTTTGTATTTCTAAGGTGCCCATCCCTGTCAGAGTTGCAGCTAATTACCTTTTCTTTCGGGTGGTGGCCCTGGAGCAGAGCTGAGTGCCAGCAGGGCAGTGCTGCAAGCTCTGCCTCCTGGTGCTTTACCTCACCCCCGTTTGCTCTCTGGGCTTCTCCCGAGGAGATCCTTGGCCATGAGAGCTCGCTGTCAAAATTGCATTCTGCCCTGGAAGGTGCATTCTCGTGTGGACAGTCATCCTCTCCTTAAACACAGATACTCACAGCAGTGTTCCTAACAGTATAGTCCTGTTTCAAAAGCTTGGTGTGGGATAAAAGAGATCATTACTTGAAGCCAGCTGCTTTGTTAAACCACAAGTGTTTTGTCCTTGGTTTAGATCTGACATGCTTGCTTTATTCATCTTTCAGTGAAATATCCTGTTGCTCACACATACCCTCTACAGTACAAAAACTGATGCATAGAGAAGATAAATTGTCTTTTGTATCTTTTTAAGACTTGTGTAGAATTGATGTTACCTGAAACTAGAGCATAATTAAGTGTGTACATTAATGAGCGTATACTGCATTTGCTTTCGCTTTTTGTCTTTTGCTGTCTGTTTTATCCTGTGATAACTGGGGTGCTTGGCAATAAATGTCTTAGAAAAGCTTGTGTGTGGATCCTCTGGTCATAATCAAACTTTTTAACTCACCAGTGAATGTTGAATCGTAGAATCCCAGAATGATTTTGGTTGGAAGGGACCTTAAAGCCCATCCAGCCTCCTACCCCTGCCCTGGGCAGGGACACCTCCTACCAGAGCAGGTTGCTCCAAGCCCCCTCCAACCTGCCCTTGAACCCCTCCAGGGATGGGGCAGCCACAGCTTCTCTGGGCAACCTGGGCCAGGCTCTCACCACCCTCACACCAAAGAATTTCTTCCTGATATTTAATCAAAATCTACCCTGTGCTGTCAATAGTGCGGTCAAATTGCCCTTGCTGTCACACATCAGTATACTCTCAGGTTTTTGTACCTGAAATTTTAGTAATTAGAAACTTCACTGTGGAGTTACTTTGGAAAACAAACCAAGCTCTTACCTGGACCTCTGACGTTCTTTCTGTTTACCAAGCAACAGAAATATTTTTTTAAAGATTGTGCATCAAGCAAAATGATGACTTAAGAAATACAATATCATGATGTATTTATTGAATAGCTATGTTTTAAAAGCCAGTTTGCTTTGTTCTTGGTAAACCATTATGCTTAAAAAACAAATTAGTATTTTTTCAACTGACCATACCCTATATCTGTCCTATGTCTCTTTTTTTCCTTTTTATCTTTTGCTGTCTCTAACTGGATGGGGCTGATGGGATCCACAAATCACTTCAGGAGCTGGATGAGGTATTGTTTTTCACATTTCATTCTGCTGTGGTGCATCAAGCGAACATTGTTACGCTAAAGTGTTGCTTTCTTTATTCTGCTAATTTATTAAGTTCCATGATGCAGGGTGAGGTGTCTCTGTGGACAGTAGGAGGACAAGGCAGTACACAGAGGATGAGTAGTTTGTGATATAATATTACATTGTTAATAGATATGTCTATAAACTAGTCTCACTTATTGTATACGTATGGGATATAGTGACTTTGTACAGTGAAGCTATTAACTATTTTTTATGCTATGCATACATTACACAGACTTTATTGGTCAGGAAATAAGTCAGAGAGGAAAAACAGGCTTTCAGGAAAGAATTGCCCAGGAAGGAAGAGGGATTGTTTTTTAAAAGGGGAGGGAGTGGGGAACCACAAAGCTTTCCAGGCCTGATAAAGGAAAATTAGAAATCTGGGAGAAACTAGGAAGTGAGGGTTTTGTATGAAATATTTCCCTGACAACAATGAATTAATTGGGTATGTTTCAAGTGGTATGACTGTTGATACCACCTCTGTCTATCTCCAGTAAAGGAAGATCATGGTTCAACTGGCAACAACATCTGTACTTGTCTTCCAGTTTCTTCCATTCCCTGGCCTTCCTTTCGGAGGAAGAGGAGGACTGGAAGCATCTATGGCCCCAGTGCTAAATGGGAAGGCATACATGCACTTTTTCCTAATGCTCGAGGATTTGTATCTAATTCGAGTAAAATTAATGTGCTGTCTTTTCTTGTCTTCTGTAGCTTGCTGATGATCGTATGGCGCTGGTCTCAGGAATAAGCTTAGATCCCGAAGCAGCAATTGGAGTAACAAAGCGCTTACCCCCCAAGTGGGTGGATGGCGCAGATGAAGTAAGTTGTGTGGCAAATCCAACGTGGATTGTTGGATTTATTAGGGATGTGGGGATTTATTAGTGTTATCAGTTATGCTCTCAGTGCTGTGAGTTTTATGATAGAAGTAGTATTAGAAGAAAAATTAAAATAAGTGTGTTTTCTAAACTGCCACCCTTGTTTAGAGGAAAATACCAGACACAAGGTTACTTTTTATCTTGAAGGATATATTGCAAGTGAAATAATGGGAGACTATCTAGGGCCAGAGATTCCAGAAGGCTGGGTTTGTACCATCAGTGGGAGCCCAGTATTAACACTGCACTGGGACAGTTGGGATAGATGTGCTATGGCTGAGCCTTCAGACTTGAGCCTGCAGGAGGGTCCTAAAGCTCGTAGCAAAGCAGTTGTTCTCAGTTTGAAACTTAGAAGGAAGGATACAAAAAAATCCACTAGACTTTTTTTGTTTGAATCCTTTGAGGGGTCCAACTGAATAGACCCCAAACTATTGGACGTTAGCATTTACTAAGTGAAAACAGAAAGTGTTTCAGGATGATAATAATCACCCTTATATAATTATTTTTAATGGGTTGTTTGAAAGTATGTCATTTAACTTTCACTGTTAAGTTCAGGCTCTCCAATGTTGACAGAGTTCAAGGTGTGACCTGAATTTTCATTTATATTTTTGGAAGTTGGCTAAACCTTCTTACTACAATATCAATAATAATGATAAAAATATTATTCCAACATAATGAAGCACATTTGAAACAAAGCAGTCTTGCCTAAGATTAACAAGACTAAGTTTAAAATGTAGCAACCTCAGAGCATATGAGAGTACTCAGTTACTTCTTAGTCAGCTTCTTATGTGGGTTTTTTTTAATGATCTTTAGTCTTCTTTTTCTGTTACATAGATTTCTTTCAATGATTTTTGTCTAGCATTTGTCAGAACCTTTTCCTCTGAAACATTAGTCACTTCCCTTTCTTCATTGTTGAGTTTTCTCTTTTAGATCCAGTATGATATCACCCGGGTTAAACAGAAGATGAAAGAATTAGCCAGTCTCCATGATAAACACCTAAACAGACCAACACTGGATGACAGCAGTGAGGAAGAACGGGCCATAGAAATAACCACCCAAGAGATCACACAGGTACAGACTGCTTTTGGTTCAAACTCTACAGTTTGATGTATCTGTAACACATCATGAGGAGGTAGTGGTTTGTTGAGTAAAGCATTTCTTCTCTAATTAGTGTCACAGTGAGCCAGAATCCTGGGCTCTGGGGTTGGTGCTGAACTCAACTGTCCTGGTGATCTTCCCAAGGAGTCACTTAACCTCCCTCTTCCTTTATTTACCTGTTTGCTTTTCTGCTTGGATAGGAGTGAGAGACTTAAACAAGTCACATCTACAGATATCTCAGAGAAATACAGATATATATTCTAAGCCTTCCCATCCAAGCAGTTATAATGAAGCAAATGTCTTTGGTCGGAAGTAGTTGGGTTACACTGCCGCCTTGTTAGATTTAAGGTTTTTGTTCATTTATGTTCTGTGTTTCCATACCTTTTTAAAAATTGCACTGGGCAATAAGAAATGAACTTTTAAAATCTAGAAATCAAAATATTAGTCTTCCATGTGGAACTTTTGCAATGTGATATTTAAAGTGTGTGTGTTGCTGTGTGTTTTTTACTAATGGAATTGTTTTCTCAGTTGTTTCACAGATGTCAGAGAGCAGTCCAGGTCTTGCAGAGCAGGTCCCGTAGTTGTACAGAGCAAGAAGCACGTGTTCTCAGGAATGTAGTGTCTTCCTTAGCACAGTCCCTTCAGGACCTATCCACCAACTTTAGGCATGCACAGTCTGACTATCTCAAACGTAAGCATAAGAGATACAGTAATACAGGGGCCCCTTCTGTGGAAACTACTGATTAAGGTGTGCTTATTTTCTTGGTTGGGAGAACTGAAGCACAGAAAGGTTATGGTTTCGTGGTTAAATACATCAATGAAACCATCCACATTTTTAATGCGTCATCGCTTCCGAAATCGTGGTCAGCAAAGCTACTTCTGTTGCACTGGTGAAACCGTCATTGGTCTTCAGAGGTGGTACTGCTGTGGACTGGCAGTCTGTGGTAGATTAAACATCAAAAGGTAGTTGGTGATAAAGTAAAATTCTGCATCCGTAAACAGATCAAAGTGGAATGTCCTCTGTTTAAAGCTCTAACATTTTGTGCAATTCTATCTTCAGCTAAGTAAGATTATTTTAATCTTGGAAGAAACCCACAAAAATTCAATCTTCCAATTTAATACTGATATGGTATTTCTTCTTCCCGTAGTATAAATGGCACAGGTGGAACTTAGGACCACAATTCAGACAAGGGATGTTCCTAAGAGAATGGTACCTAAGAGAATGGTAGAAAACAGCCTAGAGTGATTCCATTTTAAGGCTCTTAACTTACCTCATTTTTTTAACTTCATGAAACATAATGACTTAAAATCACTGATTTAATTGGAGTCTTGCAGGACTGGTTGAATTTGTTATGCTTTGTTAAATAGTAAGGCGCTGTGACAGTTAAAATTTAGATACTGCTATTTATGTCATTTATTAGCCAGATCTTCTTTCTTGTGCTTTTCTATCTGGTGCTTCAGAGCTTACTCTTACTCTGATTTTAGTGTGTGTAAATATTGGGCTCAAACATAGTTTGTCTCTTGCAGGCATGAAGAATAGAGAAGAAAGATCCAAACACTTCTTTGACACCTCAGTCCCTTTGATGGATGATGGGGAGGATGATACGCTTTACGATAGGGTAAGTTAAGATATTATTACACAAATTCAACATGAAAAAAGTGTTTAATGTATTTTTAGTTTTAGTATGAAAACATGAAAATGGTATGCCCTGAGCACCAAGCTACATGGAAATTCTGTTTCTGCAGATTTCTGTGATCTGTTTTCCTAATTAGTATTGCTGTTGTGATGTTAAGATGAGTGAAGGGGCAGGGATAGTATTCAGGTGTGAGTAGCCTTGGGAGGCAAGAGCAGTGAGGTCTCCATAGTTTAAAACAAAATCAGAATCGCTGCTGTGTCTGACACATTTTAGTGGCTGTTGGCATTATGGGACTTTCTGTAATGCTGATCCATAAACAGATATTCCATAACTACAAGATGCATGTATTGGTTTTGTACATAAATAAAAACATTCTGTAGGACAGATCTTATTTTTAAAAGCTGTTTGTTCAGGCAGGATATAGAGTTTAAATTTTTTTCTGCTAAAACTATAAATAGCTGTCCAAGTTATCTTAGTGGTCCTGAAACTCTGCTTTTAAAATAGATAAGATTTTTTTTTTCTTAGATAGTTGTCTACTATGGAAACTCCAAAAGGACTGTTGTGTTATGAAATCTTATTATACTTAGTTATTTTCTAGTGTTTTCACACTGTTAGTGCTAGTTCAAAATCTAAATCTTTTGTTCCAACAGGGTTTTACAGATGACCAGCTAGCGTTGGTGGAGCAAAACACGTTAATGGTGGAAGAGCGGGAACGAGAAATCCGTCAGATTGTACAGTCAATCTCCGATCTCAATGAAATATTTAGGGACCTGGGAGCAATGATAGTAGAACAGGTACATTGACATCACCTGTTAGTAAGAAATAGGAGATTCCATGTAGCGTTAAGGCTTCCAGAAGACTTTTCCTGTTGTGACATCCTGCTTTTGTGTGCTTCTCACATTTCCAAACTTACCTCCTCAGGATAAGGTTTCCTCTGCTTGAAATCTGCCAGGAGATGAGTTAATGGAGATTAAAAAAAAAAATCAACTGGTTATGGGTGTTAGACTGAAAGAAACATAGAATCCCAGAGTTCTGACAGTTATTTCTCCCAGAGACTCAGTTCAGGGTAAATGTGTCAGCCAAAGGCACCTGAGCTGGAAGAAGGGTGATGATGGGGGGACAGGATGTGAGGTGGGACAGAGCTGCCAGTCAGGCGTTGAGCAAGGGGGTCCTTTAACAAAATCCCAACTAGCTCTGCTGTTAAAGCTCCTAGTTTATATAGTCCATTAGCTGTTTGCTGTGAGCGTTGTTAATTACTCTGGTGCTCATAATAATATCTTTATGAAGTTCACGTAGGTTCAATTTGATGCTCATTCTCTGTTTTATTTAGGGAACAGTTCTAGATAGAATTGACTACAATGTTGAGCAGTCATGTATGAAAACCGAAGAGGGTCTAAAACAACTACATAAGGTAAGCTTAATGGAATTCTTAAGGTGCTTTGCGTATCTAATAATCTTTTATAATTTAATAGCCATTAAGTTGTTCAGTGATTTTTTAGTTGGACATTGTCCCTTTCAGAAACGATAGCTGTGCAGCGTACAACGTCCAACTGCAGTAGGAACTGCCCATACAGCTTCTGTTAATGACATGCTTGATGCCTGGTGTTCCTTTCTTAAATCACTTTCTGGGCACCCAAGTAACGTACTTTGATCTCTGTCGTGCTGACCTGGTGGGGCCTGTCTGTGATTCCTTCCCCGTTTCGAGAGACCAGCACCTGTGAAACAGGACTGGTCGTTGGGTACCTCACTAGAGATTCCGCTCAGTTGATATATCCTAGTTTGAAAACATCATCCCAATAGTGCAAGCAGCAAGAATAACTTCCCATGTTTGCTCTTCCCATCTGATGCTCGTTACAAGTTAGGTCCAACCTTATGCTTTTGGTGTGAAGCTTCTACTATGAACATCTGAAAAGTCTGAATTGGCAGCAGAACAGAGAGTTTTGTAGTTGTTCTGTTGGCTTTTTTGTTTTGTTTTGATTTTGATTTTAAGCTAAGTTCTGACTTGTTAGCTCAGTTCAGTCCTTCCATGGCTGGAAATAAAGTAGAATGAGAGATTTATGCAAAAGCCTCTATTTAAGCAAAACATTCTGTTTTGGAAGCATGGGCATCTTACTGCTACACACTCAACTGTGTACCACAGTAGACTTCTAGTATGGACAGCAAAAAAGTGCCATTTGAGGAAAAGCAAAATAAAATGGTTATAGGTTTATTCTTATACATAAAAGTGAATTGGGGATCACTAAAATAAGGCATCAACCGTTGGTAAACAAGGCTTAAGGTGATAGCAAGCAATTTGCACAAACTGAACTAGAAACAAATTAATCTGTTGGAATCACCTAGATTTCTATCCTCTTGGCAGTCGCTGATTTGTTCGCACCCCTCTGCTTGGATTGCTTGCTGGAGCATGGGGGTGTGATGCAAAATATACCTGTTTCCAGTGCACAATAGGATTTTTTTCACCTATGAGGGAAGAAATACACACAGGTCTGAATAGTAATATCAAAGTCAGATACCCCACTGTTTCTAATACTGTCAGTAGCTTTATTCTGATTTGATACCTGTAACGTCAGTCTCCTTTTCTGTTTTAATTGGTGGAATTATAACAAGCTACTGAGACAGCACTTCTGTAGAAATTGCATTAATTTGCTGCAGAAATCTGGTGATACAAATGACTAGTTACCAATTTCTGCTTCAGGTGAAAATTGGAATCAGTTGTGATACTTTGTCAGGCTTTGATACTTCAAACCTAATTAAGAAAATAATCACAGTGGTTGCATGTTACATAGTTTCAGGTCAAAAACTCCTCTTCAGCAGATCTGATCATAAATAATTACTTTCCAGGAAATAAAAAGGAGAAGAATTAATATCTTGTTTCCTTTAAATTTTGAAGGTTTATTAGTTTAAACAAAACAAAACTTGCATTTAATTATTTTTAGCTTCTATTAGTAGACTTCCATTTCGCTTTTGGAGAGCTTTCTCCTCGTTGCTTCCTTTTAATTCCCCTGGGAAAAAGAGGAAAGGGATGAGAAAAAGTGGTTTAGAAGAAAGAAGGAATGAAGCAGAAAACTGAGAATCAAATCAAAAAGAAAGCTTTCAGTCCTAATTGAAATTAAATTAAAATGCACAGCTGAATGGGGTAGAAGAAAAATCCCTGTTAAAAAAAAAAGTGAAGTTTTGTTGTGAATTTTAATGTAATTCAAATATAATGCAGGAATCTTGTAACAGCAAAATGAGCCGAAATATCTCACCAGCTTTTCAGACTTTCTCATACCCTGTTGCCTGATCTTCTTTCCATTGAGACCTTTCTCTGGTAATCTGTGCTTTCCTTGTACCCAACACCACAAATCTCAGTACCAACTCTTTCTTCTCTGTTTCTACAGGCAGAGCAATATCAAAAGAAGAATCGGAAGATGCTTGTAATTTTAATTTTGTTTGTTCTAGTAATTGTCCTTATTGTTGTTCTTATTGGTGTAAAGTCACACTAGATTTCACTTCATTTTCTCATTTTTGGAGTTTATGTGAACTTTTTCCCCAGTGCGAGTGGGTGGACCTGCACTCCAGAAAGCTGCCTTTGAATGTAACAGCCCTTGTGGTGCCAAGTCTGTGCAATGTTTCTGTGGAGTTCTTCAAAGTACAAGTTTGGTGAACTGTGAGGTGTTTGTAAGGAATATATGGAAAATGTCAGGAAACTTGATGTTCCCACACGAATAATTTGGCTTCCTATGCAGATGTATTTGGAAACACAGTACTTAAAAATTATTACAAAATTGAAGTTTACTGGTGAGTACAGTAATTAGTGTGTTACTGTGAACAAAAATGTGCTGTCTTCTGTGTTCTAATGTCACAGTTGTGACAGGCTTCAAATTTAAACCATGGGACTAGATAACAAAAATTGATCTAGGTGTAAAGTTTGTTGAGGCACAAATATGTTTGACTTCGTCTCCTTTCTTCCAGACTCAAAAACTCCAACAAACTGGATAGACAGCTAAAAAAGCTTTTAGCAACCAGAACGTAGTCCAACCCCCATGATCTTAATTTAGATACTGCACCATTACTAAGAATCAGAGTAGTACTTGATCTTGTAAATAGCAAGATTTAATCACTGGCATAATTTAACACATTTAGTTAATTAAAAAAATTTTCTGAGATTGAGTAATCACGGGAATGTTTTTTTTTCCCTCACCAGAATGATGATATATATTTTTTCATGTACTTTTTTGTTTGTTTGTTTGAAGTACAAACATTACATTAAAGCAGTGGTAAAGTTAAACCTAGAGAATGGAGATTCTCCTCTGGCTTTCTATTCTCCCTGACCTGCTGTGGTGGGTCTCGATGTTTCAGACTTTAGCTGTTGTGTAAGGTGTTTATTTTACAGCCATCTGTCCATGTGTGTTATGGTTTTTGAATAAGAACTGACTCCACTACAGTACTTGTTACATCCATTGTCCCTGACAGAAGATTATTTCAAATGCCTGCCTGGAAGAGGACTGTTTATGGTCTCTTACTGGCGCTGAGAGATGTCATGCAAGTGACATGTTACTAGGCCTTCAGCAGAGAATTTGGGTTATTTTCACTATTTTTTCAGTGGAAAACTTTGCTGTAGGCCATAAAAGAGAAATTAGGGGAACACCTAAGTAATAGAATCCTCATGACTTAATTCAGGCCTGAAGCAGTGTGCAATTGTAGAGGCCTTGCCTTAGTATTTTTAATATGGCTTTTCTGTATGGAGTTTTTTCCCCAAAGGGATTGTAACTTATTTCCTTCATTTTCTGACGGATGCAGTGCTCCCCATAAACCTGCAGGATGCTCTGCTGAAGGCCGCTGAGGTGCAGTTTGTAACGCAGTGCTGTTCCTGTGTGTCCTTTACCTGCTCCGTGCCCCAGGAGGCGGCGAGACGCGGCTTTCGCTGTGGGAGCAGGGACGGACTGAGAGCAGGGGCTGCGAAGGTGCGAAGGCCTTGGCTTTTTTTGTGGCTTCTTGTGAAAAGCTTCGTACCACTCCTGTGTCACCTTGAGACAGAGGGGATCTGTGACTTCCAAAACTGCCTCTTCAAACCCTTGATTAAATTCATGACGTAAATTGGTAGCAGGATGAGTGATGCTTGTAGCTGGGTGTGCAGCTCCCTGGTCTGGTGATGGATCTTTTCAATGGTCGTGAGTAGAACTACTGTCTCCCTCGTGTGCTCTCCGCAGCGGTGGGTGTGAAGCAGCCTATTGCTATAATTTAAAATACTGTATTTGCAACTTTCTCTCTAACATGAGATCGTGTTATTTATTTCTGTCTTGACTGGTGCTTTTGACATTTTATCATGGCTAATGAATTCAAAGAAGTAATAAAACACTTCCAACCCAATTGGTCAATCACTCTTTTTATTCTTTTTTTTAAGAAAAAAATATAAACTGAAACATACCTGTGTGATATTAAAATGTCTCTATATACTTTTCATAATTAAGAGCAGCAGTGTCATGAAATATCTTTAAAAAAAAAAAGATACCATTCTGTAGCACCGTGTCACTTGCTCTGTCAGGATGGATTTCCACCCTGCAGCTGTCACTGACAAGCCTGTGGTGTCTTAACTCTGCGTAACTGGCCACATATTTTCTATCCAAATTCTGTAAAAGGCAAAGTACTTTTAATACGCATCATACAAGAGGTTAAACTCGGATGTCAACTGTCCTGTGTAACTTGAGCTGGAATTTATTGAGGCAGATTATACCCAGGAGAAAAACCTCAGCAAAACAACTTCCAGGCTCCTGAATCATTTCAGGTGTCAGCTTGTCGCAGTCCGGTCTGAGCCACCAGCAGTAACTCAAACCCCTGTGCAGGGCTCAGCCAGCCTCCCCCGGCCGTGTCCCTGGAGGGGTGCCGTGGGGAGCGTTCCGGGGTGACAGCCAGCCCCGAGGGGTCCCTGGGGTGACAGCCAGCCCCGAGGGTCCCTGCTCTGTGCCCAGCAGAGACCGGGAGGAGTTGTGGCTGCCTCTGCTCTGTGGGGTTGTGCTGACCCCCCTGGAGATGCGCCACGGGTCCCGCAACAGGATTCCATACATCTTTTATTCAGGCTAATTTTAAATGTATCGGGCAATAGCGTTTCCACCATGTCCCTTCAGACACCAAATAAGACCTTACTCTAAGGAAGCTTTTTCTGCAATTCAACCTAACATTTTTTTTCTTTTTAGGTGCATTTCCATGATGTACATCAGCATTCACCTTCCCCATGTGCTCCCTTCCCCCTGTTCAGGCTGCCCTGGCTTTCCAGGCTGCAGGTTAATGGGTATCGATTCCTTACAGACCTAACGTTCATAGGAGCTGATTGGCAAATATAAAAAAATGAAGATAAATACCCTATTATATTTAAAACATTTAAATTTACTATAAAAGCTGGTGATGGAAAACATTGTTTCCTTTTAGTGGATTCCCCATGCTGTACCTTGGAGCCTATTTTGGCTTCCTCCTCTTCCTGGAATGTTTTTAGATGCACATTTTACCCACTATTTAACTTCATGAGGCTAAGAGGAATTCAGTTTTTTCCTTTTTTACCCCTGTGTCACTTCACACTGTCAAGATGAAGCATTTCCATCCCAAAACGGTGTTAGGGAGGGGGAATGCAGACTGCCCTGCTGCCGGTACCTCGGGACGGCGCCGCGGGGCACGGACCCTCCGTATTTTTTTCCTCTATTTTTTTCATTGCGGTCTATTTTTTTCCCCATTTTCCTTTATGACCCGTAGAACTGTAAAACCCCCGGTCTGCTTGCGGGCTCTCCGGCACCGGGCCCCTCCGGGAGCCCGCTCCCACACGGAGGACGCGCCGGCCCTCGCCAGGCCCCTCCGGGAAGGAGGCGGACCCAACTGGGCCGGGCCGGGCCCCCGAGGGAGGGAAGGCCGTGCCGGGTCGGTGAGGGAGGGCCGGGCCCCGCCGCCGCATCCGGGTCCCGGCGCCGCCCGCCCGCGCTGCCCGCCCCGCG